ATCCGTAGAAGATCGAGCAGCTCATCGAATATCTTGGCTTTTCAATGATTGACATAGCATATATCTGTATATATTATAGGCCCGGGTGAGACAATAGGACAAGGGAAGTCCAGGGTGGTGGTACCGTCACTATGTCTATTCTGCGGGACAATGGAGTCCTACAGATCGGACTGTGCGTGGATGTCGCCAGGATGTCTTGCATCACCATCGCACAGAGGAATTGTCGGTTACATTTCATTGGAGTTTGGGTAGCAGGGCGCCACAGGAGATCCAGGCCTTGGGAAGCGAAGAACCTGCAAGAGACCCTGGACAATAAGCCGTCGCCATTATTACGCAAGGAGTAGATTGTTGAGTCGCTCAATAGAGGGTATGCACAGGCCTATAGATGTAAATCTTTGCGCCTAACTCTGTGCAAAGCGAGGGCTGTAAGGGCTGTACAACTCTGTACACCATATATGGGCACAACATATTTTACGGATTAGCGTCTGTGAGCTTGAGGATAGCGGGGGTGCGTTCCCGGAACATGCAGTATCCAGCACATCTGAACATGACCTCTCTGAATCTTGTATAAAAGAGGTCAACAACTGACATCTTGATCTACCGCCATATTCCTTCTCGAGCCTGACAACAACCCTGCTCCTTGCATTGCCCTGTTACTTGAATCCCAGAATCCCATAGGCTCCCCATAAATCGTTAAGCAATCGAATTAATAGTCGTATTTCCCGAATGGACATCGCACAGTTCCGAGGACAGACCATGCAGTAGTGGCGTCGATCGCATCAAGGCTAACATTGAGATAAATGGGACGACCGGAATTCAATTCTAGTGCGATGACAGGCGACGCAGCATTCGGAGGTATACATAGTCCCCAGCTACTCCTATGTGGAATCATGCAGAGTACGAATATCATTGTATCATTGTATTTCGAGGCTATTGATATGCCCGTTGCTGAGCCTGGGATATACAGGGTTGATATCATATCTGTCCTGAGAGACCGTAGGGTAACGAAAGGAGGCCAGTGGTGTAAGGCGTCACTCTACCATGGTAACCGAGTATCCATGTATGAATATATATATAATAAGAGTGTTCAACATCCCTAAGGGTCTCAGTTTCCACCCTCACGGCTAGGTAAGCTGTAGCAGCAGGCAAGCCCACACTGCAAATTCCACATGTTTCAAGCAGCATGCCATGTAGTAACTTACGGAGTAACTACTTCTGCACGCCCTATGTAGAGCAACGGCAGCGATATCGGGAACCCACAGCTCATGTCCCTATTCTTTGCCCTCTCGACCTCTTGTTCCTCCTGCAGTGTTGTCATGGTCCATGCCCCTGCATGAACGCAGCTAGAATGGCGACCTGACAGTTTCCGGAACACTCCATTGGCTGCTGTCCTCGTGCAGCGAAGGAATGCTCTCCTTGGTGGTGGCGAAAATTCACGGAACTCTTTTCATGTCTGCGTGGCCATGGGCCTTACCGGTGTCTCCAGCCTTCAGATATTATTATCTAGAGTCAGATTCCAACGCAGCCGAGAGAAAGGCCCCTGTTCTCCAGGACCAGAATGCGCCACCATTGAGGCTGAAGAAGATGGTATATGTTGGTATTTCGCCCAGGGAAGACAGGTTTGGCGGCGGGATGTGACCAAATCGATCTACAACGCCTGTTGACGGTAATTTTCCGTATGATATAGCCTATATTTCAATGCATAATTAACCATGGTCCATGGTCGAGCGGAGGTGTTAGTTAATGGCTTCAGATGATAAACCAGCCTGGGTATCCCGCTCGTTCATTGGCGCCACCAAACGCCATGTGGGATGTGGCGCTTAAATCAGTCTCCGCCTGACCGATTAGTCAATAATATGAAGAGAAAAAAGTGGGAGTAGCAGCAGGGCGCTTTTTCTTTTCTCTTCGTTAGCAAGTATCATCTCCGCGAGACAGCTAGGTCGAATTACGGTTCTAAGGGAAAAAATGGAGGTGGCTTCGCCCTGCGGCCTCTTTCTCCTCATTCTCTAACCATCCAAGGAAGACAAGAGATTGAACGGCTCAAGCCACGACGCATCTATCTCATAGTCCTATTATTGAACGGCAGTTTGTAGCATAACCAAGCAGGTCGATATACGGGAACAGCCTGTGAGCAAAAGGTGTGTGTGTATACGCTCGTCCCTTGATGTGAAAGTTCCCCAACAGCCAGGCAGGCATATACTATGTACAACGCTCTCGTCTCCCACCGCGACCCATGTCGTAACCGCCTATCTGTCTGAATGATGTGTATCTACAGACCATACCAGAGACGTGCCTATCAGCCACAGCGTCATCTCTCCGATAGGGCAGCGGTAGCCGCGCGAGTGTTGTGAAGAAATAGCTAATATGACGATCTATCACAGACTTCGTCATGCTACGCAGACATGGTACTATTAAACACACTGAGGTTGATGCTGTCGTAGAGTTTCTGACAGCTCTCCGGGTCCAATGGGGTCAAATTTGGCTCTTTTTCCATCCCCGTCATATGATGCTCGGATATTATATTGGAGATCCTAACTATAACAACTATCATATCAACAAGGGACTGCCGACCATCCCCGTCCAAGTGGAACTCAATCGAACAATTACCGAGTACCATAGAGGGCGCTCCATGACTAGTGGAAAGTTTCCTATCGGCCGCCATTATTTTATTATGCGATGTATTGAACCAGATCAGTGCTATCAATGTACCAATCTAAACTAAGGGGACCGCGAGCTATCCCTAGATATCAACTAGTTACTAGAAGGTCATCTATCATAGCCGTGGACAAGAGGAAACCCTCTGTTGATATATATGAAAACTGATTACCACCTCTCGAAACTGATAGCCCGCAAATATAAGCCGATCGAACCTCGTGATTCGTGTGATGGGGATGATCAACCCGGAATCTCGGCTGCCACGATGAAACGGTTAGGCTGTGTTCTTTCGGCCGCCAGCAATTGTCTATCGTCACCGAAAAAACACCCCTTTCCAACAGCCAAATGCCAGAGAATTTGATAGCCAAAAGAGGGGGGTGGAAATATCAACTGCAGGCCCTGTCCACATATTTCTCTCATCACTACACGCACCAAGTGAAAAAGTTCTGATCGCATCAACAAAGACTCACGATATAACTCTTGCTTCATGAGGAAACATACTAAGTGAAAGAACTTTTATCCCCGTATCCCTTTCCTTGCTAATGGCTGATCTCAAGGAGTCTTCGGTTAATGCTTCCGATGGAATAATATCATTCGTGTCGTCGCCTGGCTCGCTTCCCGAGGATAAACTTGAACTAGCCACAATCTTACTACATAAGATTTCGAGATGCGAGCTAATATGTATCCTCGACCTTGCTCACCCCGCTTGGCTTCTCGGCCTGTTGAGTGACAGGCTTTCGAACACTTACAAGCGGGAAGTTTGTCAAGCCAAGCATATCTGTATAGGCAACCAATCGCGACCCTCGATAGCTCATAGCGGAGAGAGGAAGGAAGACCCCGCGACTAAGAGTATCCATACTATGTATAGTGGAACGTATTGTATGTGAGAGCTAAACATACTTTGTTCCAGACATGTTCCTAGCAGGCTGCCATATTCGGGTATTCCATCCCCAGTTCTCTGGGATTTTCATGAGCCGCAGATTGAGTACTGAAGTCATTCAATCTCCCCTTACTTATACATCGGAGGATATACTCAGTGCGGATACGAATAATGGGTATAAGTGTACAAAGAGTATGGAACAGCATTTTTGCATACGTGGAGAGTGTATCGACGCCATACGACGGGAACAGGTCAGCAAAAAGAAAAAAGTAACCCATCCCGCAAGCCACAGCATCGGTATCCACCCAGAGCACAGTTGCAAGAGAGCTCAAGGCGATAAAGGGGGTGCTTCGTCGTTCCCGTCCGGTAGCTCCGCTTAGCGGCTTTCCCGATAGACTATCCTCGAGCTATTTAGCTTGATATACAATGCCAACTTGCATTGACGTTGTTATATGGTCGCTTTAGCAATGTCTGCCTTTTAAGGGAAGTGGTGTCGATGTTGCGAGCAGCTCTTCCTTCTCTCGTTCCCGAGAGCCTCTGGAGCTCCTTGGAAAATGGAGACGGGGGCGTGAAAATCTGTTGCGGGCTTGCTTTAAGCTCTGAGGCCCTTCAAGCTCCACTTGATTTTAGCTTGTAGATCTGTTTTCTCCCCTTTCTTTTTATTTCTTCACATCTTTTTCGAAAAGAATGCATGGTGTATACCTGAACAAGTCCACACCCTCTTTTGCTTTTTCCTCCCTGGGAATTTTGCAATTCTTGTTACATACCACGATGGAAGTATCTATGGTGCAAACTCGTTTTCAACCCTGCAAAAAATTCTAAATTGGAGGATCCACGATATGATCAAGGCACGACATCTCGGCTTTCTGGTGGCTCTCAGATCGTCCCCTGCAGAGTACCTGTTATGGATGCCAAAGTTTACAGCTAAGCTGAAGAACCATCGTGGGCTGGCTGAAGTGAAGGCCCAGGGGAAGATCAATAATCAATAATCCAAACGAGACAGACGAAAAACAATGAGAGATAGGATTCCAATTCGAGCTTTTGCTCAAGCCTTGTTCGAGTGACAGGTCTGTTGGCTTTCTCTCTGTGCTTGGTGGATGTTACTTGATGCTCCTCCTTCACGAACAATCTACATGCTAGATCCCTACCAGCAGGGAGATAAGGATCGAATCAGCAGGTATATAAACAAACCAACAACCAATCGCTTGGAACCTCATCGTCCCGATGCCCCGAAAACCCGGGTGAGAGAAGTTCGGAGAGAGCGTATTATTCGCTCCAGCCATGTACGAAGCAATACCCGCGTATATGCAAAAATGACGAGGATTCGCTCCGCTGTTGCATGCAGAGTATCCAGTCGCGTTACGCCAAAGACGTCGAGGATCCCAGAATGGGGAGGGGTTCAGGTGAGGTTGTGGCGCTCCTGAAGAGAACTGACACAAATGTGGTGAGCCCATGGGTAATTTATAGAAGTTACGATAGATCCGACAGCGAGCCACACAGAAGATACCTGACCTGTCACATTGCGAGAAGAAAGCCCTGGATGCTGAACTCTTCCCCGTCATTTGCTAGTGGCGAATGATTGCCTGCCCTTTTTGCTGACGTCGACGTATGTCCAGAGTATGTACCCTCCCAATCGTTGGGTACATACGTAGCAGCAGACTGGGGTTCCGTTTGGAGCTTGAGCTAGCAAGGCACCACTGCTACGGCTGGCGCAGCGTCCAAGGCCCCATGATACGAGGATAATTATGGACCTGGTACACAGCGCAAGCTTACTCCATTCCTCCTTGGGCGTGCTTCTCCTAGTTTACCGCGGAGTACTATGCAAGTACTGCATAGCTCGGCCGTTTCCACCACTTTTTCTTTTTCCGCTCTCTGTTGCATCATTGTGTCTCTTGATGCAAAGATATAACACAAGATAGGCCCC